CACAGCCGCAATGTCTCGGCATGCTGTGCTTGCCAATGCGACTAGCTCCTCGCAGAGAAGATCAGCGCCGCGGGCCTCCCAAACCAGGCAGCAGAGAAAGAGCTTGGAGAGCTGCATGGCGCAAGTTTATCCCAGAGCTTCCTGTGCTACACAACTTGAACCAAACGTCTCCGACACGGACATCGGCTCACCACCTCCGGATGTCCCACTGTCTGCATTTGCCTGCAGCACTTGCCCGGCCCTTCCCCTCAAAAGCTGTGCAAGGCGATCAAACGGGAGTTGACATCCGCGGCGGACAGATGTTCGTTTTGTAGCTCTGCATGTTCACCGAAATTGTGACTCCACAGCAGGGCTTGCAACTTTGAACAACCTAGTGTTTCTGTATGGCACATCAACATTGCAGCAGTAGACCATATTAGGTAGGTTGGTATAGTTTCCAGCAAAAGGCTAGGTCACCCTGCTCCCAACGCTCGAAACGTGCAGACGTGCGCATATGCCAAAGATGTACAAATGTTAACAGTCTACATGTTGCACTTGTGTGTTGACACATACCATTGCAAAGCGCAAGAATGCTGCTAGAACACGCTTCTACTTGCAACCTCTCCTGTCAAAGCGCGTGTGCGGGCGGCGTAGACCTTCCTGGAAGCTGGTTTACGAGTCCCACGGACTCGGTCGACGTGCCTGGCCGGAACCTCTTGAAATCTGACTGACACTGAAGATTTAAGAAGTGGCGCAAGACTCTGAGAGCACATGCCCGTAGGGGCTTGTGCAAGCCGTGAAGCTTGTGCTATGGCTGCTATGGATGTATAGGGTGGCGGAACCTCAAGCTTCAAGGTGGAGAATTCCCTGAGGTTGCAAGCTTGGCTGGACTTGGGTCCACTGCCAAGCCGGCCACAGCCCAGGGAGGTGGCTAATAGGCCATCCACAAAAATGCCTCGAAATAGACCCTAAACCCTTCAGGCTGACTCTGGCTCTAAAAGTTCCTGGGGAGCAATCATCCCCAGACTCGCCAAGACATGCCAAGACCCAGGCAGAACTCTCTCAAAGTTCCACTGACTCAGGCTCGGGAGACGGCGACAGCGGGAAGGCTACCGTTGCCGAGATCTCCTCACTGACCTCGCTTCGCATCGGCTCCAGGCTTGCGTCAGCTTGCCCTGTTGCAGCCGGGCCGCAAGTATTCGCGAAGGCTTGGGCGCAAGGTCCTTGGAGAGACCCTGCCCTGGCAACATGGCAGCTTCGCGCTTTGCAGCTTGTGGCATGATGGAACACAACGGGAGTCTATCCAAAGAAGAATTCCGGCCTTCCATCGCTTCGCACAGCCTCATGAGGACAGGCTCCCTATCAGGTCACCTAGAATCACTGGAACCTCTGTCAAACCCCCCCCTGCCAAAACAAGGCCAGGCCACCTGTCGAAGGTCTGCGCAGAGAGAGTGCAGCACTCCGTGTCTACATGCCAGTTCACTTCCAGAGGTGAACAGACCGAGTTATTGAAGTCCGTGCCCGTCGTGGAGCCGATGTATCGCACTGCCCTCCCCAGGGGAGGCTGGCGCCACTGGTTGACGAAGTTGTCGTAGTCTGCTTCCACGTCCACCAGGCTCTTGTTGTAGATAATCCGGCAGACTTGCCCACGGACGATGATCTTAGGGTTGTTGGTGCGGTTCAGGGCACCCCCCAGACCGTCCGTGATACCCAGCTGACCCTCGGCGCCTTCGTCACGGAGACCGATGAGCGGCGCACCAGTGGAGAACACCCAATGGAACTCGTAGGTGTAGTTCACACTGACATCCTTACAAAACGTGAAGTTGTAGAAGTCCCGATCGTCGCTGCTCACATCATCCAGGCCGCAGAAGTAGCCTTCCCGAATGGAAGGGTCCGGGCGCACCAGAGGAGTTGCGAGACCAACGTCATCGGCCTCGTGGAAGTAGCCGTTCGGGATCTCACTCTTGTGCTCGGCGCCGAGGTGGAAGTGCAGGTTCGCCTGGATGAAACGTGGAGTGGCGTCGCCGTCCAAGGGACGTACCCGGGCCTGGAGGCCACCTTTGAAGGTAGGAGTAAGATCTCGCGGCGACTGTGGCTCCGCATCCTCACAAAGCAAAACAGGAGCCGTCTCGTTGGATGGCTCGCTAGCGTTGCTCAAAAGCCTCGGAAGGGAGCGATGCACGGTCAACAGACGTGAGTGCAGGCAGCCAAGCTGCGAAGGACTGAACTGGGGCAGCGAGCTCGATGGCCGCAAGCTGGCGTGGTTCTTGAACCTGTCGAGATCGGCTACCCGAATCTGGTGAAAGCCCCATCCCCATACTCAGCCCATGCTGATTCTGGTCTCAGCGACTGCATCAAGGCCGAATCCTCGACCTGGCAGTGCGTGCAGTCCTGCCAGAATCCCCGCCATGTCCCCACCCTCCAGCGACAAGTGCGTAAACAAAGGGCCTTGTGGCCTTGTATATAGGGCGCATCTGTTTAGGCTAAGAGCGCCTCGCGCTCACAAGTCCCCGCCACCCCCGCTGTTGGGTCTCCGGAAACAGAGTCGTGGGAGTAGCCGAGCTGACAGCAGCGGTCGTTCTCTCTTTCTCCCTCCCCATCTTGCTCTCGTCCTGTCCTTGGGAAGGGCGCTGGCGGCAGCGACGAGGAGGAAGAGATGCATGGCAACGCGCTTCTAAGGGCACGGTCTCGTCAACGGGCTAGAGGCTACAGGCGAGGCTCTAACTTGAGGTCAACAGCGGGCAGAACTGCGGTGCATCCAGGGCCTTCGTTCCCTCACGATGCAGAGTTGCTGGCTGCTTCCAACCTTTTTTTTGCCTTGTCTTGTGTGAGCGCGGGCTATGCGATTCCACAACAGGATGAACTCGGAGACGGGACCGAAAAGCTCTCCAGTAAACGAGAAAGGGTTGAAGCTAAACGAGTCTTGGCGGTCCGGGGCCACAGGCAAACCCTGCGGAGCAGGACTCGCAGCAAGCCCGGCTGGACTTGGGTCCACTGCCAAGCTTGGCGAGATCCTCGCGATGGCTAAAGGGCCATCCACAAAAATGCACAGTGCGACGGTGCAACGGGCGGGTTCTAAAAGTTCTGGGCCATCACCCAGGCTCGCTGGCCCGTCGCGACACAAGGCTGGTTCGTCAAGGGCTGCGTTCGGACGCCTCACTGAAGGATCTCTGGTACGGGCGATACAGCCAGAGGGTAGGTCACCACGGCGGAGAGGTTTCGGCTCACCTCAGTCTTGCCC